AGCAACAGCAGGAACCTAATGCCCTGCAAGATGGTGAGACCCTGCCAGGTCCACGTCAGAAACAGCAGTTCGGACTCATGGTCCTGGTGGAGAAGAAAGTGGGAGAGAAATAGGAGAAACATTGGGGCAGGTGGGGGACCTGGCAAGGCTTGGGTGACAGAGTCCACGTGGGGCAGGAGGAACCGAAGATTCAACAATGAGTCGTGATTCTTGCTGCAACAACACATGGCGGGAAAGACCTTTAACAGGAGATGTGTGCAGGCTGAGCCTGTGTGAGGACCGGAAGTGAACGGTGGAATTATATGTGCAGTTAAGGTGCCAAGAGGGGACTCTGGGACGGGTTCGGCCCGGTCCCAGCTCATGTGAGAGGCCAGGGACGAGAGGTGGGGGCAGTCAGTCAAGTGGGCATGATCCTCACGGTGTCCACCAGAGCCTGGAGGCATCCATCAAACTGCGCATGTTCCCACACACACTTGAAAAATGTATCCGGGGGGGCACCTGGGGGGCTCAGTTAGTTAAGCATCTGACTCTTGATTTCCACTCAGGTCATACTCTCAAGGTCATGGGACTGAGCCCCACAGGAGGCTCCACACACAGTGGGAAATCTGCCTCTCCCTCTCCATCTGCCCCCCACCCCTGCTGGTGTGCACTCTCTCTCTAATAAATAAATACAATCTTTAAAAAATAAAAAAAAAAATAAAAAACTGACCCTAAAGAAAGACTTACTATTACTTCTTTTGCATCAGAGAATGCAGTTTTAAACCCACACTAACTCTGACTCCCTGCTTTTGTGTTACTCTATATAGAAGTAGGTTGGAGCCATCTTTACAATGCCAAAAATGAATTAAAAACACACAAATAAAAACACCATGCTCCCTCCCTGACTAGGGTGAAGCAAGCAGATACATATAGGCAATTTACTTTAGACTAGAAAAGGAAAAAAAAAAAAAAAAAGGCCCCTTATCTAAACTTGTGAATTCTGGTACAAACGTTAAAAAAAATTTCAGGGAGCTATATGTGGAACAATGTCCAAAGCCCACTCAGAAAGGGAAAACATTCAAATTCCAAGAAACCAGGGCAAAGAGACCTTGTTGAAGACACAGGACATTCAGTAGAGACCCTTAGCAGTAGGGCTAAACTCATACCTTAGGAGTAGGGCTAAACCCGCCCTAGACTGAAGTTTATACCCAAGTTAGTAAGACTTAAATATTCTATATTATTTTATACTACATAATCTTAAATAGTTCCAAATATTAGCAACAAACAAGTGGAAAGTGAAATATTTTTTTTAAATACCATTTGAGAGGGGCACATGGATGGCTCAGTCGGTTAGGTGTCTGCCTTCAGCTCAGGTCATGATCTGAGAGTCCTGGGATCGGTCCCACATCAGGCTCCTTGCTCAGTAAGAAATCTGCTTCTCCCTCTGCCTGCAAATAAATAAATAAATAAATAAATAAATAAAACCACTGGGTGGGGATGCCTGGGCTGGTTTGGTCGGTGGAGCATGCGAATACACTATTCTGTACTCACTACTTCAATTACAACACATATCTCTGTTTGCAATGGCTTGAATTGTGTCCCCCCCGCCCCTTCCAAATTCATATGTTGAGGTCCTGACCCCCAACACCTCAGAAAGTGACTTATTTACAGATAAGATCTTTACAGAGGTAATCAAATGAAGATGAGTTCATGAGGACCTAATCCTAATATGGGACCTAATCCAGTATGACTGGTGTCCTTTTTCAAAGGAAAAGAATCTGCACACAGACACACATAGAGGGCAGAAGATGTGAAGACGCAGGGAGAAGACAGCCATCCATAAGCCAAAGAGAGAGAGGGCTGGGAGAGATCCTTCCCTCGCAGTCCTCAGGAGGAACCAACCCTACCAACACCTTGACTTTGGGCTTCCAGCCTCCAGAAGTGTGATGATAATACCTTTTGTTGTGTAGGCCTCCTGGGCTGTGGTACTTAGTTATGGCAGCCCCAGAAAACAAATCCACGGGCCAAGAGCCAATTTAGAATAAATTTGCTACAGAAACTAGAAGCCAGCTGCGGGGTCAGGCCTGGAGGCAAGGCAAGTGCTAGTCAGAGAAATGGAAAGGGTTGACGAAGCGTTCCAGAGCCTAAGGTACAGGGTCCTTGGGACCAGAACTAACTGTCCCATATGTTTTTATTAATTTATACTTATTTATACTAACTGTCCCTTATGTTTTTATTAATAATATATTAATAATTATACTTAATATTAACTGTCCCCAATGGAAAGGTTTTAATATATTTTTACATAAAATTAAGAGCTTTTACTACCACCATTCTGACTGAGGTATTTTCTCTATTAAAAATAAATATTCACTTATAGCTTAACTTCCAGGAATAGTACCAATTCTGAAAGTACACAAAGGGTACTTTATTTTATGTATAGATGCTGAGAGTTGAGAGGGGTAGTAACTTGGATTTCTGGGTCTAGATGACGGTAGGCTAGGACCTAGCTAGACCCCTGAGTCTGATGAAGAGGGACTGGGGGCCTGGACTCCTGGGTCTGAGAGAGGAGGGGTTGGGGGTCTGGACTCCTGGGTCTGAAGGAGGAGGGACTGGGGGTCTGGACTCCTGGGTCTGAGAGAGGAGGGGTTGGGGGTCTGGGCCCCTGGGTCTGAAGGAGGAGGGGGCCGAAAACATGGACTCACAGATTCCTGAGAGATGAGAGAACTTGGGGCCAGGCATCAGGGACCCAAGATCTGAAGTGGATTTCTATCTTTTCTCTTACTTTGCTCCCGAAGGCTGTGCCAAAACCACAATGAGCACTAAAAACTGTCTATCCCCTAAGCCTGTTCCTTGTTAGGAGGCATCAATTAAGACAAAGAACTGCCAAAGCTTCCAGAATATGCCAGACAGATAGTGAGGACAGAATCAGCCATGTTCACTACCATCATACAGAGAGATCTTCTCCCCGGAAAACTGGGCACTGCCTGGCCAGATTGCTGGGGCAAGGCTGGGATTGGCCATGGCTCTTTTGTAAGGGGCTTCCCCCATTCCTGACCCCTAACAATCCCAACACATCCTGTCCTCTAGCCCCAGGATCTAAAGGCATCTGACACCTAAATATTTCTCATCCCCTCCAGGAATCACATGCCTATTCTTAGTGTTTGGAACGTTAAAACATGAAATAATTAAGGGCTATGATATAACCTAATTGTAGCTCTTTTGTCTCGGGTTATTTCATCTTTGAAAACATTTCTGGTGAATTCTTAAAAGGATATTACTCCTTATCTAGCTAAATTGCTTTCTCTTAATATTTGTATTAACTCTCTCTAGTTTTTGTTGTTGTTGTTATTGTTCTAATTGTGGTATTTTCTCTATTAAAAATAAATATTACAGCGCCTGGTTGGTTCATTCAGTTAAGCGTCTGCCTTCGGCTCAGGTCCTGATCCCCTGGGATCCAGTCCCACATCCAGCTCCTGCTCAGCGGGGAGTCGGCTTCTCTGACCCTCCCCTGGCTGGTGCTTTCTCTCTCTCTTGCTTGCTCACTCTATCTCTCTCTCAAATAAATAAAATCTTTAAAAATAATGAATAAATACTCATTTACACCACGGCACTCACAGAAACAGCACCAAGTCTGAGAGTACACAAAACACCCCTTTGCTTCATGTTACATATAGATCTGGAAAGCTTCCATTTCCAGCTACGAACGAGAAATCCGAATGAAAGCCACGTCTTACTGGTGTAGAGGCACCGCCACGTGGGGGAGCTATGGCGGCAACCTGTGCCCTCACAGTCACGGCTCATGCACGCCGTCAGGGGTGGCTGGAAACGACTCTTTAGACGGCTTTGCTCCAGTCAACCTTCCAGACGTCCATGGAGGGGGCTGGTGCTGTGACCCCACCGGCCTGCCAGGATCCACCGTGAGGGAAGGTGACGAGACCAAGCTGCCTCCCAGTGTCTAGGGCCACCGGGCGGAGGCGGGGTCCAGGCTGGGCACATGGAAGGGGGAATAGTTCCGTGGAGGACAGCCAAGGGTGTGACCTCCAAGCACAGCCCACTCCACCGCCCCATGAGAGAAAGCGGTCAGGGAGGCCACTTGAGGACGCACCGCCCGCCCGGCTTTCCTCGCCGAGCGCAGCAAACACCTGTTCCCTCCCCCTCAAATCCCAGCATGCTCGCCGTTCTGCGCATGCGTGCCTTCTGAGCCCGCCAGGAACGGGCTTCTCCAAGGCCAATGGGGTGCAACGTTCTTCGGGTTCATCCAATGAGCGCATCAGATGCTTTCACATTGACCAATGGGGCTTCGAGCGACCTGCTGGGCGAAGGTGGCCCCGTCTTCCGTGTCTCTGAGAGACCAAGCCAAGGCGGAGTGGAATGAGAGGGGCGTTCTAGGACGTTCCTTCAGCAGCGTGAGGTTCCTGTGAGGTTATCTGAAAGCCAGGTGGAATCCGGGTCCCTTAAAGAGAAAAGGAGAGCTGAGGACCCAGACTCCTGGGTTCTGAGGAAAGAGGATGGGGGGAAAGAACTCTGGGGTCTGAGAGGGGAGGAGGCCGGGGACTCAGAATCCTGGGTCCTGCGGGAAATGGCGGCTGGAACGTAAAGCCCTGGAGCCCTCGGTAGAACAGGACTGGGGTGGCAGAATTTGGAGCTGTGGGAGGCCCGGGGGCCGAGAATCCCGGGGCCTGGGAGAACATGGGCTTGACCCTGGGCTGAGGCTGAAGGGGCGTCTGGGCCGGACCCCGAGGTTGGGCGGTCCTGGTCGCTGAACACCTTTGGCTTCGGGGAGTAGGGATTTGGGTCGGAGGGTTGCCCTGTGGAAACAGGCACGGTAAACGTGCTAATGCGCTCAGACTCGCAGGCTAGACCGTGGGGGCCACGGTCTTCTGTGGCGCCGTGCGCCCCGCAGCGCCAGTCCTCGCCGCAAGGTCCATGCAGCCTGGTTGTGTGAGGCTGAGCAGCCCCCTCTTCTCTCTCTAATCGCAGATCCTTGGCCGCTCTTCCAGGCGGCTCTGAAAGACGCCATGGGAGCCCGTCGCGTCCAAAGTCTGCTGTTCCTCCTCCTCCTCGGGCCCCCCTCCTTGGCCTGTAAGAATGGGGGCTCGGGGCGGGGGAGGGCTGGTTCACAGAGGAGGCACCTCTGGGGAAGAGGACGGGCCAGGGCCGCACAGGGGAGGCCACGCGTGCTCCCCTTGATCTCCTTTCCTCCGCAGTGGAGCCAAGTTTGTACTGTCACAGGGGCATATCCACGAGTGTAGAAAAGGACCCAAAGAGGACGTTTAACTGGACCACAGAGAAAGTTGAGACTTGTGACAGTGGGTCATTCTGCCAGGAATCCCTTCTGATGATTAAAGCAGGTAAATCGAGAAAGGGCAGCTGGGTTGGGTGGGAGGAGGGGTCTGTCCTGGCAGGGCCATTCCCCCTCCCAGGGGCCAAACCCTAGGCCCACACCCTGCTTTCCTTCCCCACTGTCTCCGAACAGGGGCCGAGACAGCAGTTCTGGGCACTAAGGGCTGTGTCACGGAGGGGACCCTGGCGACAACGTATGTCCAGCACTCCCCACCCCCAGGCATAATCACAGTGTCCTACAGCAGCTACTGTGAGGAGTCCTTATGCAACAGCAAGGGGAGCTTAATGGAGCTGTGGAGGGTGGAAGAGACCCAAGGAACGCCAGGAGGTGAGACATGGGGACTGAGAGAAAGTAGAAAAACCCCTGAAAAGATGGCGGGCCTTCCTTCTCTGTGTTCTTACTTAGCTCAGGCCCAACGGGGCCATACACAAAAGAACCTCATTTTTTTTTTTTTTTTAAGATTTTATTTATTTATTTGACAGAGAGAGATCACAAGGAGGCAGAGAGGCAGGCAGAGAGAGACGGGGAAGCAGGCTCCCTGCTGAGCAGAGAGCCTGATGTGGGGCTCGATCCCAGGACCCTGAGACCACGATCTGAACAGATGGCAGAGGCTTGACCCACTGAGCCACCCAGATGCCCCAGAACCTCAGAGCTTTTGCCTGCCTTTTTCTAAGTTGTTACCTTGAGGTCTCAACACTGCTCAGAGCACTAGGACGGCAAAGAAGGCCGAGGTGTTAAGTTGGGTTTTGTGTTTATTAAACAATAAGGGGCCAGTGGAGGTTTCCAAGCAGGATGGTGTGGCTTAATCAGTCTGGCAGCTACTGCTTCCCGGATGTGGCCAGCCCCTATGGCAATCTAGCCCTGCCTACCTTTTCAGCTCACTTCCTTTTCTTCCTTCCCTGTTTATGGTGTTCCAGCTGGGGCCAGTAGTCAAAATATTTAACAACAGATATGGTACTGGCCAATCAGAATAGATGCTGGCCATGAAAAACCAGTCCAGCCCTATCTGTGTCTACCAACTGAATACTAACACAGCAGTGTCTCCCAGTCCCCGAAATCCAGCAAGCTGCTCACACCTCCAGACCTTTGTCCTTGGTGTTCACTTTGCTACTCCCCCAACCCCCATTTTCACTCAGCTAATCTCGGTTCACCCTCCACCTCAACTCAGGTGTCTGCTCTGTAAAAATAGTTAGCAAATTCTTCCAAATAGTTAGATATCCCTCCATTCCTTCGCCATTATCTTTGGACACAGTGCCTACTGAGAGGTACTAAAATTACTGGCATGTCCTACACTGTGATGTCAATGACAGGAACTGTGTCCTTTTCATCTCTGTCTCCACACCTAAGCACACAGTTTGGAAGTCATGTTGGGTGGGTTCTGATAGCAAAGAGAATCAGTTGAAAAGGTGTGGGGAGGTTGCAGTGATAGGCCTTGATTGTGGTGGTGTCAGCAGCAAAGACTTGGGGAAGAAAGGAAGAAAGAAGAGACAAATCCAGAGGCAGGACATACCCTAATTGCCCTCTGTTTCGCCTTCTAGCTCCCAGTGTGTCACCACGCTTCCACTGCCCAACCTGTGTGGCTCTGGGAACCTGTCTGAATGCTCCTTCTGTTCCCTGTCCCAATAATACAATTCAGTGCTATCAAGGAAGACTTCAGATCACTGGAGGTAAACTCAACACCCAGTGGTTTCAGAGGCTGGAAAACCAGACATCTGGGTGGATCCCAAGAGGTTCTGACACTCCAGGGTTCTAGGAATGAGGAAGGACTGATTCCCTTCTGATTTCCTAAAACATCTATGCATCTTCCCATCCTTTCTTGTTCTACAGGAGGCATCAACTCATTTTTGGAGGTCAAAGGCTGTACATCCATAATTGGTTGCAGGCTGATGTCTGGGATCTTTACAGTAGGGCCCATGTGGGTGGAGGAGATCTGTCCATATCAGTCTCTCCCTCAGCCCCGAAAGACTGAAAATGGGGCCACCTGGCTTCCTGTTTTGGTTTGGAGGTTAGAGCTAGTGCTGCTGCTGTTACTGCAGGAACTTGTCCATTGTTCCTGAGGAAGCGCTTCTCATCCTGGACTGCAGGACACCTCTTCTGACTGGAAGCCTTCTGACTGCTGGTCAGCAAGTTGAGGAGCGACTGGAGAGCTGAAGAACAGAGAGTTCCTGTGGATGTATTTTATATTTCTAATAAAGTTTCTGCTGTGATTGGTGTAAAACCCAAGACTAGAAGTGGAATTTTAGTGCTGAAAGGGCCCTGAAAATTCACTGTCTCCAACCCACACATTTTGCAGAAAGGGAAGCAGAGATGTGGAAAACTTGACTATCTCACACTAACATAGCGATGGGCAGAGCAAAACCAGAACTTTGATACTTGGACCTAAAGTCTGGTTTTCCTTCCACTCTTAATTGGTCACTTTCTCTTGCTAGCTGGGCAAGAAATCAGCATTAGCCTCCTTCAGAGCACTCTGAGCCCAACCTTAAGGCCACAGTTGGCTGTGCTGTTCTAGTATTTCCCTGGGAGGTATGGCAGAATTTGAAAAATCAGACTCCAAATTCTTCTGTTATAACAGACCCCATCTCCTATGTCCTGTCTCTTGCCCATTTACATCTTTCCTTCTCTTCTCTGCTGGCTACTTCATGCATCTTCAGGGGACACAGGGAACATCGGAGGCAGCTGGGGCTCAGCAGGGTATGAAAACTGGGGTCTGGGACTCTTGGGGGGAAGATGTGTTTTTTACTTCTTGTGCTTATTACTCAAGAACACATAAAACCCATCTTATAAAAGACTCCAATGATAGAGGAACCACATAGGGAAAAGTAAAAGGTGGGGAAAGGATAAGGGGGAACAGACATTTATTATTTCATTTAAATAGTTTTATTGTCGTTTACCTGACATAGCCAACTGCACTGGGGGGTGGAAGAAGACTTAATGCAAACTACTGACCCCACAGAGGACAAAGGACAGGGGAGTTTGGCCATAGTATAGTCCATCCAAGTTCCTTCTAGAAAGTTTTGGCTCTAGACTTTCTAAATCAACTCTTTGAGTTAAAGGCGCACTCCAGCTAATACTTCATCTTTGGCCCTAGGCAACCCGTTTCCCATCAGTTTACAGGAGAAAGCACAAACAAATCAAATTTGAACTTAATGAGGGGGCATATAAGTTTCTGAAATAATAAGCATTCAGAACCATGACTGGTAAATGCCATCTAGGGCAAAAACAACAACAAAAAAGCCAAGTAAATGTTTTCCATAGGACAATGGCTTTCTGATGGCACTGAAGACAGTTACACTGAATGGAAGAATGACATAATTTTCCAAAATTTGGCCCGTGGATTGTTTTGGCATTTTACAAATTACGTGTATCATATGCCAAAGAACTTCAGGCAGCACGGGCAAATTTCTTAGGCCGCAAGCTCAAATATAATAATATATTTACATAAATGTACATAACATAAAAGTATTTTGAAATATTGTTGATTTTTCAGATACTTTGGTTGTAACAATCCCTCATCTGACCCAGGGATAGGTAGAAACTTAACCAGTTTGAATAAACTCAACCACCTCAGGGCTTTCTCCCTTTCCACTCTCCTCGCCCAGGGCTTGGTTACAGGACTGGCGGGAAGGAGGTGACTGTCTAGTTTTGGCCTCTCTGCTGCTCGTGTCCATGTTCCTGCTGATGCCTGGAACTTGGCTTCCATTCCTGCTGGCGTCCACTGGGAACTTCCAACCCTGTCTGGGCACTGATGGTCACCCATGCAGGCCCTCTCAGTTCTGCCATCCCTCTCTCAGCTATTTCAGGGCCTCTTTCAACAGCTTTCAAGTCCCACTGCAGTGCTTCAGGACTTGGGTTGTGGTGGCATCCTGCACAGCTGATGAAAATCCCCCAAGATCTGGAGAAAAGATCATTGCACAGGGAATTGCTTCCTCCTTAGGTCCTAGGAAAGAGATGGGGCCTAGCCCCTGGGATTTCTCATCCACCTTACACGGACCACTATCACACATTCTTCCCAAATCTATTGTTTTGCAACAATCATGCCATAAGGCCTTTCAAGGAACTTGAAAATTCCAGGTCTATCAAATCAAAAGTTGGCCCTTCAGAATTATTGTCTCTGTCTTACTTTACATAAGCCTACTTTGAAACTTCAAGGCTGAATAGTAAGATATTTCTGGCTCTTTGCATTTCTAGGCTTTGGCCCTACTAACTTAGGGATAAAGAGCAAGAGAAGTGGTATAAAGAATTGGAGAGGGGCGCCTGGGTGGCTCAGTGGGTTGGGCCTCTGCCTTCGGCTCAGGTCATGATCCCAGCCTCCGAGGATTGAGTCCCGCACTGGGCTCCTTGCTCAGTGGGGAGCCTGCTTCTCCCTCTCCATCTGCCCCTCCTCCCTCTTTCTCTTTCGCTCTCTCCCTCTCTCTCCCTCTCAAAATAGAATCTGAAAAACAAAAAAATAAAAAGAACCAAAATTAACTACAATTTACCATCCAAGCCTTCCCCTGGAAATTGAAAGCCTTCAACATACTACAGAGTTCCAAACAGTTGTATCAGACAGATTCTGTCAAAGCAACTAGATGAAGAGACAGATTCCTGGTGCTTCCAATTCTTCCATCTTCCCACTGTTTGCCATGTTTTTTAAAGCTGAGATCAACAGTTCTAACTACCAGATTAAAGGGAATTCACGGGCCAGAGGAACATGTTAAATGACCCCACATGTGTACAATCAAAAAAAATCCAGGCTGTGGGAACTCCAAAAGACAAAGACCTGGCTTTGTCAAAAATTACGTTTAGAGAAAAAAAAAAAAAAAGAGGTGAAGCTATACCTTAAAGGAGACTTAAACACACAAAATCAAGTGCAATGTGTAGACCTCACCTAGATCCTGACTTGAAAAACCAGGAAAAATATTTTTATGAGATAAGAAAGGAAATTATTAATCGACTGGCTATTTAACTGTATTAGGTATTTTAATTTCTATTTGAAATAAGAACTGAAACCATGTGTTTCAACATGACGATGGTTTGTTCCAAGAAAGTTTTGCCTAGAAGGAAAAATCTATAAAAGCTCACATCTCAGACAACAGCTTGCTTATCAAGACTGTTTCAAGACCCTCATTTTGTTGTGTTCATCAATCCCTAAACCATTGTGTCATAATCCTTGCTTAATCATGGCCAGTTTCTTGGTATGAAGAGCCTGCCTCAAATAGCCTTCCCTGGTTTTCCCTTCTGTGGTACCACTGAGGTTCTCGTGGTCTCTGTTAGAGTCAACTGTTAACAGGTAATAAACTTTTTTGTGTCATGTTTAGTAAGAAAAGGGGAGGCCTATCTCCTTAAAGAAATGTACTAAAGGATTTACATATTTTTAAAAGATTTTATTTATTTATTTGAGAAAGAGAGAGCACAAGGGGAGGGGGGCAGAGAGAGGGAGAAACAGACTCCCCACTGAGCAGGGAGCCCCACCCCGGCAGATCCCAGCGCAGGTGAGCTGAAGGCAGATACTGAACCAACTGAGCCACACAGGCGCCCCCTGAAGGATTTACATATTAAATGCAAGTAAGACTGAGATGTGCTTCAATATAGTTTGGGACAGAGAATGGGGTGGGGCATAGAAAAAATGAAATTGACCATAGGTGATAATTATTGAAGCTTGTTGGTAGCTACCTGGGGTTTCCTACACTATTTTTGCCTACTTATGTACATGTTTGAAATTGCCCATAATAAAAGGGTTCCTTTTTTTAAGTGTGCTACTCAGACCACAACATTGGAGTTATGCTTATTCATCCTCCCTTCCTCTCCTGTGCTATATCCAATCCATTAGCATATCCTACAGATATTCAAAATTCCTCTAGAATCTGACCATTTCTCATTACCTCCACTGCCACTTCCCTGTTCGAACACTGCCGTTTCCCACCTTGATTCCTGCAATAGCCAATGGTTTGATGCCTCAGCCTTTGCCCTCCCTGATCCCCATATTTTACTCTCAACACAGCAGTTAGAGTGATCCTTTTTAAAAAATAAGTCTAAAAGCTCCTCTCAAAACCTTGCAATGGCTCTTCATCGCACTCAAGAGTCAAAGTCAAAGTTCTTATGATGGCCTACAGGGTCCTACCCTCTCTGTCCCACTCCTTGATCTCTGACCTCATCTCCTAAGACACATCCTTTTGGGTCACTCCAGTCACCCTGGCGTCCTTCCTGTTTTACAGGTGCACCAGGCACGCTCCCACCTCAGGGCATTTGCACTTACCGGTCCTTCTTTTTTTTTTTTTTTAAAGATTTTATTTATTTATTTGACAGACAGAGATCACAAGTAGGCTGAGAGGCAGGCAGAGAGAAAGGGGGAAGCAGGCTCCCTACTGAGCAGGGATCCCAATGCAGGGAAGGACCTTCCTAGGACCCTGGGATCATGACCTGAGCTGAAGGCAGAGGCTTTAGCTCACTGAGCGATCCAGGCACCCTTACCGGTCCTGCTCATTGAGAGTGTCACCTCTTTCAGGGCTTTACTCAAAGACCTTCTCAAAGAAACCTTCTCTGACTGCCCCTATCACACTGCAGCCATCCTCCCCACCCAGACACTCCCTTTTCCCCACCTTTTTTTCTCTCCTTTGTACTTACCGCCATCTTATGTCATACTTGTTTATAGTCACGTCTCTCTCCTTAGAAAATATTTTTTCTAATATTTTAATATTAAATAAGCCCCACGAGAGCAGGGATTTCTGTCTGTTCTGTTCCCTCCTGTAGCCCCAGTGACTAGAACCGTGCCTGGAACAGAACAGGTGCCCAGTAACCACTCATTTTATGACTTTGGTCACTACTGTTTTCCATACAGTGCCCTCAGCCACCGCACTATTCCTCCAGGGTTCAAACTTAGGTGTTAGGTCCAAATGGGGTAATTAGGGAAGAAAGTCTTGATTTTTAAAAAAATTATCCTAAGAGAAGAGAAGTAGGGTCCTAGCTCAGGGCAGCATCTGTGAAGGGTGCTGTTGTGGCGGCTACTGGGGTGACAGCTGCCAAAGGATCCAGACCCCTAGACAATGTATTACCCATACGTGTGGGGAGACTGAAATAA